ATTTTATGCAGGTGGCCATGGCCATTCAGAGCAACAGCAGGTAGCAATTAAAGTTCTGCTCAGCAGATTAGAAATTCTCTGATGGGTATGTCTCCTTCAAGTGAGGCTTGTGAGAATACAGCTTCCAGAATGTATTTTGCTTCTGTAGTGTACCTGGATGCTTACTGCTATAATGTATATGGTGTGGGGAGTCCTCCACTACTTTTATTATAGTGTGTCTATCTCATGAATACATCCTGATCTACTGGGCATATTTATAACTGTGGATTGTCAGGAAGATGCTGTATAATTTTGACATAGTCAGGGACCATTGAGTTCCACTAAAAAGCTGCTTTAGATCACAGCTAAGGTTGACATAGGAAAACAATTGAATTTCTCTAGCTGCCAAGATAGCTGTACACTGCTAGCTGACATAAAACTTCAAAGTAGTTTTAGATTAGACCAGGTGCCTTGCTAATGTTTTTTTTAGATAAACATTCCCAATCTTTAAGTTCACAAGGACATACTGCTGTACTATCTGGCTAGGTCATAAAAACAAAGCAGCTCAATTATTGCTAGCTGGCAAATGAGTCCTTGCACCCTTTCCTGACCTCAATTTGTGAAAATACATTCTAACTAGTCAAGGCTACAGAAAATAACTTGACTCTGTAGCACCAAATGAGGGCTGCAGGTGTTCTTGAATAATTAGAAGTTACACACAATCTTTACCTTTGAAATGTGACTGTTTTATGACTCTTATTGCCTGAAAAAGTTTGTTGGCATATATAAAATTGTAATAAGACATAAGAGGACAAGATCAGTGAGAAGGAACAACATGAGAGAGAACAGCATGATGAGAACAACATGAAAAAATACAGAAAAGAAACCATCAATAGTATGTGTGAGTTTTTCCCTTCCCTAAAACCTCTGAGATAAACAAGTCTTAGTTTGTGCTATACTGTGGACTTTCCCTTGAAGCCCTTTCTGAAGTCTGGTACCTGATTCTTCATGGGTTGTGATAATTTTACAGGGCAAAAATCTGTATTCCCAGCTCTTGGAAGGCAGCAGGATTACCCCAAGTGTGAGACCAGCCTGATCTACATAGATAAATTCCAGGAAAGCCATCCAGCAAAACTTGCTCAAAAATATCAATTAATCCATTAATTAAAAAATTAAAAACAGGGTAAATGTAATTTAGTGAAAATATTTTTTAGGATTTGTAACAAAAGAAAAAAAACACTCTCTTACATGCAGTCTCCAAACCATCAAGAAAACCTTGAGTCTTGATTCAAAGATGGGATACATGATAAATTATTTGCCTTTAGAGCTAAGTCATCTATCTAACCGCACAATTATCCTACTGTGAGAAAACCCACTAAAGATGTAAAAAGTAATATAAGATATTTGTTAAGAAAAAGTCTTACTCTATTTACTAAAATCATACCAAAGAAAAATACTTTCAAACATCAAACAAGTATTTCTAAGGAAGGGAGCAGCTCAGTGGTAGAGCAACTGCTTAGCATGAACTCTGACTAGGTTTCACTCCCAACATGAAAATTATCTAGAATCATGGGGAATCTAAGATGTGCAAAAATATCTTTATTGGAAAAGCAAATGGGTTTTAAAAAAGGAAAGCTGAGTAATAATGGTGATTTAGAACTAATTCTTGTAGACATGGGTCAAAAAGGACAAAAAGCAAACAGAAATCATACACATCTGAATGAAAAACAAAATTATTCTTCAACTCTGAATCAAAACCTATGCAGTGTGAACAAAGGAACAACATTGCTACCTTTTACATGTTTAAATCATAAACCGGTCAGTGACCTGTGTGAAGGTAAGAGCATCAAGACAAGGTCATCCTTAGGTGAGTATGGAATTCAAGGCCACCCTGGCCTACTAAAGACCAGGTCTCAAAATAAGCAAGTTTGACCTCAAATTTTTAGCCCACATATATTATTTTACTTTTTCAAAGCACAACAACATTTAGTGGTTATATAAAAAAGATCTCAGCCAGGTGTGTTGGCACATATTTTAATCCCAGGGCTCTGGAGTGAGAGGCAAGCAGATCTCTGAGCTTGAAGCCTGCCTGCTGTACTCAGCAACTCCAGGTCCACCAAGGATACATATTGACACTGTTTCAATGAACCTAAAACCAAGGCCAGGCTTGCTGGTGTAAGCCTTTCTTCCCAGCACATGGGAGGCAGAGACAGGAGGATCTGTCTGTGAGTTCAAGGCCACACTGATCTACATAGCAAGTTACGGAATAGTGAGGGCTACATAGAAAGAATGTGCCCAAAAAACCCCAAACCAAAACAAAAAATGTTTTTCTATTCTATTGATAAAATTCAAAATGATTATTTTAAATCCGTAATATTAAATGAAAAAACTATTCATGATCTCCTCATAGTAACCAAATTATTCCAAGTATCATATTTTGCAATTAAGCAAAATAGTATGCATATTTTATGGATACTAGAACAGACTAGTTCTATGAGGTCAGAACTTTTCAGAACATACTGTTATGTCATACAAATTACAATAAAAAAATTGAACAAAAAATCCAGTTCTGTGTAACTTTATTCACTGCACATATCCTAAGGGTTCCTTAAATACTTATACGGCTATTGAAGGTTTGTGTGTGTGTGTGTGTGTGTGTGTGTGTGTGTGTGTGTGTGTGTGTGTGTGTGTGTTCATGTTCTTTCTATGTTGCCCTGACTATCCTGGAATTTGCTACGTAGACCAGGCTGACCTTGAACTCCCAAACAGATCCTCCTGTCTCTGCCTCCCATGTGCTGGGAAGAAAGGCTTACACCAGCAAGCCTGGCCTTGGTTTTAGGTTCATTGAAACAGTGTCAATATGTATCCTTGGTGGACCTGGAGTTGCTGAGTACAGCAGACAGACTTCAAGCTCAGAGATCTGCTTGCCTCTCACTCCAGAGCCCTGGGATTAAAATATGTGCCAACACACCTGGCTGAGATCTTTTTTATATAACCACTAAATGTTGTTGTGCTTTGAAAAAGTAAAATAATATATGTGGGCTAAATATCTGAGGCCAAACTTGCTTATTTTGAGACCTGGTCTTTAGTAGGCCAGGGTGGCCTTGAATTCCATACTCACCTAAGGATGACCTTGTCTTGATGCTCTTACCTTCACACAGGTCACTGACCGGTTTATGATTTAAACATGTAAAAGGTAGCAATGTTGTTCCTTTGTTCACACAGAGTTGATTCAGAGTTGAAGAATAATTTTGTTTTTCATTCAGATGTGTATGAATTCTGTTTGTGTTTTGTCTTTTTTGGCCCATGTCTACAAGAATTAGTTCTAAATCATCATTATTACTCAGCTTCTTTTTAGAGCTTATTTGATTTTCCAATAATGATATTTTTGCATATCCTAGATTCCTCATTATACTAGATTATTTTCGAATTGGAAGTGAAACCCAGGCAGGGGTCATGCTAGGTAGTTGCTCTACCACTGAGCTGCTCCCTTCCTTAGAAATACTTGTTTGATGTTTGAAAGTATTTTTCTTTGGTATGATTTTAGTAAATAGATCAAGCCCTTTTCTCAATAAATATTTTGTATTAGTTCTTACTTCTTCTGTGGGTCTTCTCACAGTAGGATAATTGTGCAGTTAGATGACTTAGGTTTTTTTTCTTTTTCTTTTATTAAGACATTTTCTATTCATTTTACATATCAACCACAGATTCCCCTATTCTCCCTCCTCCCACCCCCAGCCTTCCCTCCACAATCCCCGCGCCCCTGCAATTCCCACCTCCTCCAAGGCAAGGTCTCCCATGGTGAGTCAGCAGAGCCTGGTACATTCAGTTGAGGCAGGTCCAAGCCCTCCTCCCTGCACAAAGGCTGTACAAAGTGTCTCACCATAGGCACTGGGCTCCAAAAAGCCGCCTCATGCACTAGGGACAGGTCCCAGTCCCACTGCCTGGGGGCCCCCTAAACAGTTCAAGCTAAACAACTGTCTCACTTATCCGGAGGGCCTAGTCCAGTATAATGGGGGCTCCTCAGCTATTGGTCCACAGTTCATGTGTTTCCACTAGTTTGGCTAGTTGTCTCTGTACTTTCTCCAATCATGGTCTCGATATCTCCTGCTCATAGAATCCCTCCTCTCTCTTGTTGATTGGACTCCTGGAGCTCTGCCTGGGTCCTGGCCGTGGATCTCTGCATCTGCTTCCATCAGTCACTGGATGAGGGTTCTATGATGACAGTTAGGGTGTTTGGTCATCCTATCACCAGAGTAGGTCAGCTCAGGCACCCTCTCGACCATTGCCAGTAGTATATGGTGGGGTCATCATTGTGGATCCCTGAGGACCTCCCTAGCACTCTGCTTCTTCCTATTCCCATGGTGTCTTCATTTATCATGGTATCTCTTTCCTTGTTTTCCCACTCTGTTCCTGATCCAGCTAGAACCTCCCGCTCCCCTAAGCTCTCTTTCCCCAGATTCTTCCCCTCCATTACCCTCCCTCACCCCCAGTTTACTCATGTAGATCTCATTCATGTCTCTGTCACTGGGCAATCCCTGTGTCTTTCCTAGGGTTCTCCTTACTAGCTAGCCTCCCTGGAGCTGTGGGTTGCAGTCTGGTTATCCTTTGCTTTATATGTAGTATCCACTTATGAGTGAGTACATACCATGTTTGTCTTTCTGAATCTGGGTTACCTCACTCAGGATGATATTTTCTAGTTCCATTCATTTGCCTGCAAACCTCATTAATGTCATTTTTTTTCTCTGCTGAGTAGTACTCCATTGTGTATATGTACCACATTTCTATATCCATTCTTCAGTTGAGGGGCATCTAGGTTGTTTCCAGGTTCTGGCTATTACAAATAATGCTGCTATGAACATAGTTGAGCATGTGTCCCTGTGGTATGATTGAGCATTCCTTGGGTATATACCCAAGAGTGGTATAGCTGGGTCTTGAGGGAGATTGAGTCCCAATTTTCTGAGAAACCACCATACTGATTTCCAAAGTGGCTGTACAAGTTTGCATTCCCACCAACAGTTAAAAATATGGAACGCTTCACAAATTTGTATATCATCCTTGCACAGGGACCATGTTAATTTTCTCTGTATCATTCCAATTTTAGTATATGTGCTGCCAAAGCGAGCACTAGATGACTTAGTTCTTAAGACTTTTTTGTTTCTTGTATCCCATCTTTGAATAAAGACTCAAGCTTTCCTTGTGGATGGTTTGGAGACTGCATGTAAGAGAGTGCTTTTCCTTTCATCACAAAGCCTAAAAAATGTTTTTACTAAATTATATTTACCTTGTTTTTAATTTTTTAATTAATGAATTGATTTATATTTTTGAGATAGTTTTGCTGAATGGCTTTCCTGGAATTTATCTGTGTAGACCAGGCTGTTTTCATACTTGGGGTAGTCCTGCTGCCTTCAAGAGCTGGGATTACAGGTGTGAGCCCTATAAAATTATCACAGCCCACGAAGAATGAGGTTCCAGGCTGCAGACAGGGCTCCAAGGGAAAGTCCACAGTGTATCACAAACTAAGTCTTTTTAGCTTGGGTAGCTTGGTGGATATGCCTCAGCAAGTTCATTGCCATTTTGGCAGGCAGGATTACTCTATTGCTTCCTGTCAGCCACCATTCTTCTGGATCTTGGGGCTGTAGCTGAAGTTTTCTCCAGTCCTGCCTGGCCCATGGTCAGGACAAATCTCTCTTACCTGCCAGTCCTGCAGCCACTTAGACCCAACCGAATAAACACACAGAGACTTATATTGCTTACAAACTGTATGGCCATGGCAGGCTTCCTGCTATCTAGTTCTTACATCTTTCATCTTAAATTAACCCATTGCTATAAATCTTGCCACATAGCTTGTGACTTACCAGTGTCTTACATGTTGGTACTCAGGGTGGCAGCTGGCAGCATCTCCTGACTCAGCTTTCCTGCTCCCAGAATTCTCTTCTCTGCTTGTCCTGCCTATACTTCCTGCCTGGCTACTGTCCAATCAGCATTTTCTTTATACAGAGCAATATCCACAGCATGGGGCTTCCAGGCTTGGGTTAGGCTGTGGATGAGGGTCAAATCTTCTGCAGTATGTGCCGGCTTGTCAGTCAGTTTATGGAGGCTCAAGTCTGGCAGCTTCAGAGTTAGTATTGAGGCTGCTTGTTCTGCAGCTGCCTTAGCAGCCTTGTCCATTCACAGATTTCCCTGAGCAAACAGGGAGTCTCTTTTTTGATGTCCTAGACGCTGAATGATTGCCAGCTTGGTTGGGAGCCATAGGGCTTCCAGTAGGTTTAGAGTTTCTTGTTTATTTTTGATAGGTTTTCCCTCAGCTATCAGAAACCCCCTTTTTTGATATATAGTACCATGTATGTATGCCATAGCAAAGGCATAGTGGCTGTCCGTATATACATTAAGTCTCTTACTTTTGTCTAATTGTAAGGCTTTGATTAAGGCAATCAGTTCTGCCTTTTGGGCGGATGTCCCTGGGGCCAGAACCTCAGCCCAAATGTCCTCTCCTTCCATGACTACCTCTGTGCCTGCATACCTTTTTCCATCCTTGATGAAACTCGTCCCATGGGTGTACCAGGTGAATTCAGCATCTGGCATCAGTTGGCCCCTCAGATCAGGCTGTGTCCCACGGACTTGGCTAAGTATCTCAGAGCAGTCATGAGTTGGTTAATCCAAGTTGGGTTCAGGGAGCAGGCTGGCCAGATTTAGGGCCATTGACAAGGCAAAGCGTAGACGTGGGGGGTTAAGGAGAGGAGGTATGGTAGTGGGTCATGTGTGCATTGCTCAACCAGCAATTGGGAGGCTGATTGAAGACCCCTTCTATGGCATTCGGCATGGTCACATTCAGTTCTTGCCCCAAGATGAGCTTGTCTGCATCTATGACAAGCAAGGCAATGGCCACTGATTCTCATGACAGGGGCCATCCTGAGGCAACAGTATACAGTTTCTTTGAGAGATAAACCACTGCTTTCACCATGGCCCAAGAATCTGGGTAGGACTCCCTTTGCTACCCCTTTGTTTTCATCTACATATAGGCAGAAGGGCTTAGTGATGTCTGGGAGCCCTAGTGCTGGGGCTGATAACAGAGCTGTTTTAATCTGGGCAAACACTGCTCCTGTTCATCTGTCCAGTCAAAGGGCTGCCCTTCTCGAGTGGCTTTGTTCAGGGGTTTGGCCGTTTCAGCAAAGCTTGGGATGCAGAGGCGGCAGATGCAGGCTAATCCCAGGAACTCTCTAACCTGCCTTCTGTTAGTTGGGGTGAGTATATTTAGCACAGCCTCTGACAGCCAGCACTGCCCCCCTTTGAGAATATAGCCTAGATACGTCACTTTTTCTTGGCAAACCTGTGCCTTTTTGGCTAAAACTCGATACTGGAGAGTTCCCAGAGTCTGAAGCAAGGTCCTTATCCCTACCTTACAGTCCTTTTCAGTGGCAACTGCAATCAGGAGGTCATTCACCTACTGTAGGAAGACAATTTCTGGAGTGCTCAGTCTGGTAGGCATCCAGAACTTCATGGAGAGCCTCATCAAATATGGTGGATGAGTTTTTGAACCCCTGGGCCAGTCAAGTCCAAGTCAGCTGTCCATTGACTCCTTTTCCTGGGTCATGCTATTCAAAGGTGAAGTGAGCCTGTCTCTGAGGGGCCAGCGGTAGGCTGAAGAAAGCATCTTTAAAATCTAGCACAGTATACCATTGTAAGCTATGTGACAATGAGCTCAGAAGAGTATATGGATTTGGGACTGTGGGGTGAATGTCAATGACCCATTTATTAACCACTCTCAAGTCTTGGACAAGGCAGTAGTCATCAGAGTTTATCTTCTTGACTTGGAATAAGGGGCTGTTCCAGGCTGACTGACAAGGCTTTAAAAATTCCTTGGTCAAGTAGGCGACAGATGTGGGTGGTTATTCCCATCCGTGCTTCTGTTGACATGGGGTATTGACAGACCGGCATTGGAGTGGCCCCTGGTTTTAATTCTACCAAGATGGGGGGTCAGTGTTGAGCCAGTCCAGGCCCCCCTGTCTCCACAAATGTCTCAGGGTATTGTGTTAGCCAAGGACCCAATTCTTAGGGTGGGGAGGGCTGTTCATGGAGTCTATATTCATCTTCTAACTGTACTATTAGGACTTGTATTGCTTTTCCTTTTAAGTTTGTTCCTGCCACCCCTTCTTGTACAAAGGTTATTTGAGCCTCAATTTTAGTTAATAAGTCTCTTCCCAGAAGGGGGTATGGGCAGTCAGGCATGACCATGAAGGAGTGGAATACCTGGCCCAACCCAAGGTTCACCTGTTTTCGGGTAGTCCTTGAGTATTGGCTCATGTCAGTGGCTCCCTATACCCATACCCTTTCATTGGTTATAGAACCCATAGGCTCTGTCAGAACTGAGTATTGAGTACCCATATCCACCATGAATTGGACATGCCTCCTTTCCAATTTTGATGTTACCCTAGGTTCTGGGAGGGGAACCAAATCCCATCCCCTTCAACCGATCTCTTCTCTGTCTTTTGTCATCAACACCTGGGGAGGTGGCTTTTTTTTTTTTTTCAGAGACAGGGTTTCTCTGTGTAGCTTTGAGCCTTTCCTGGAACTCACTTTGTAGACCAGGCTGGCCTTGAACTCACCGAGATCCATCTGCCTCTGCCTCCCAAGTGCTGGGATTAAAGGCATGTGCCACCACCGCCTGTCCGGGGAGGTGGCTTTTTATGTCCCTCTTTTTGGGGGCATTCTTTTGCCCAATGGGCTATCTTTTTACAAGAGGCAAATTGGTCTTTCTGCAGAGGGGGGTCTGCCCTCACAGCAGGAAGACTTACCTTGGTTTCCAGTCAGGCACTGCAGCTGCGTTCACTTCTCTGGATCTGAAACCGTGGCCACCAGGACTAGGTAAGCCATGTCATGTGTCTGCCTATCCTCTGCAATTGCCATGGCATGTCTCTGCTTGTCATTTTCTGCAGCCTTCATCCTGTCTCCCTGTTCATTTGCTTCAATCCTTAACCTAGCCGGTCTTTCCTCTGGAGTTTCTCTGTTGTTATACACCTTAGCTACTACTTCTAGAAGTTCAGACAAACACTTTACTGCTAAACCATCTATCTTTGGTAGCTACTTTCTAATGCCTGGGGTGGCCTGATTAACAAAGTCTAAGATCACAGCTGATTTGTTACCAGCTGCCTCCAGATCTATTGCAGAGTAGACTCTGAATGCCTCCATCAGCTGCTCTAAAATGGCCACTGGAGACTCAGTTGGTTCCTGTAAATGTTATTAATTTGGTCAAATTGGTAGGTCACCATGCAGCAGCCTTGAGGGCCCCCCATTAGAGCCTGAGGGTAGATTTTTGAGGCTTTTTCTACCTTCAGGTATATTGACATTTTATTCAGGCCTGGTCAACGGGAAGGCTGCATTGATGAGGGCTTGGTTAGTGGTGGAACAGCCATCAGGACCCAGGACCAAATTTCAGGCTTCCACCACAATCCATTCTTTCTCTTCTTTTGTGAACAAAATCTGTAATAACTGCTAAGAATCATCCCCAAAAGGCTGATGAGTAAAAATAACAGAATCTAATAGGTTAATGCATCCTTTTGGGTTACCAGAGAAGGGAGGGTTCTGGTTTTTTACAAATATACAAGTCAACCATAGCAAATGGCCAGTACTGATAGCACATTCCCCTGTTCATCCTGTGGCCCTATTGCCTGGAGGGGCAAGGTGGTAGAGTGTGGCTGGTGTCCAGTAGCTTCAATAGGGAATGCATCGACAATTGTATGGGGGGCTGGCCATCACTTTGGCTTCTTCCTGAGGGGCAGGGGGTACCTGTTGAGGGTTTGAAGGGGAAGGTGAGGGTTATGGTAGGGGTGTGAGGAGGAGGTCTTCCTCTGTCCTCCCTTGCAAGATGGGGGGGGGGGTCGGGGCAGAAGGGGTAGCTTTCTTGGGCACACCCTTTTCTTTTAGCATAGAACCTGTGACTTTTGTGGCAGTTGAGTCAGGACTAGAGGCTTAAGCCAGGGTGCGTGTGTGTGGTGGTGGTGGTAATAGACCAGGTCTTCCCACACAGAAATGTAAGGAATATGGTCAGGGTGTCCTGGTCTTCTGTGGATGACCTCCTTGGTTTTCCAATAATAGATTGGTCAAAAGTGCCGTCTTGTGGCCACCTAG